GCGCGGTGAGCCCAGCGTCCTCCTACGCCACCATCTTCCCTCCTATCTCTTAAATTTTTTAATATGTAACAATTTTAAAATTCCTGTTCTCCACTTATGGAATACTTGTGAGGCAAGGGGTTTAAGTCTCTGCTTTGTAATTGTGAAGTTTGAAAGAAGACATGATTAATACATGTGAGCTGGGCTTAAAATCTTTTCTGAAAGTTGAGGCAGGAGTTCTAGAGAGTTGGTTTTGTTCCCCTGTCCTGTCTCCTCTTCCCTTCTGGATTAATGGACTGGCTGGACTCCCAGGCCAGCTGCTCTCTAAGAACAGCAGTTACTTTGGATTTCAGTAAGGACCTCCAGTTACTCCACCGTGAGAAACTTGGGTCTCACCGTTCACTTCCTAAAAGAAAATCATTTTAGGTAGTATGTGATCTTTGCAGTGTTTTTTGTTTTTTTTTTTTTTTAATTTCCAGTTTTGAGATAATTGGCACCTAGTTTTCTGTAAGTTTAAGGTATACAGCATGGTGATTTATGTATATTATGAAAGGATTACCATGATAAGTTTAGTTAACATTTATGATCTATACATAGAAATTTTTTTTCATTGTGATGACAACTGTTAGGGTATACTCTCTCAAATATACTATATAGCAGTGTTTGCTGTGGTCATTATGCTGTACCTTACATCTCTGGTAGTTATCTCATGATTGGACACTTGTACCTTTTGACCACCTTCATCTAATTCCTCCCTCCCCCATCCCCTGCCTCTGGTAGCCATAAATCTGATTATCTCTTTTCCTAGGAGTTTGGAGGTGTTTTTGTTTTTTAGATTACACATGTGAGTGAGGTCAGCCGGTATTTCTTTCTCTGTTGACTTATTTAGGATAATGCCTTCAAAGTCTGTCCATTTTGTCACAAATGGCAAATAGCCATTTGATATACATATCACATCTTTGTTAATGGACATTTGGGTTGTTCCTATGTCTTGGCTGTTGTAAATAATGCTATGGACAGATGGATGCAGATTTTTTTGACATAGTGTTTTCACTTCATTTAGATATATTCCCAGAAGTAGAATTGCTGGATCATATGGTAGTTTAATTTTTAATTTTTTGAGGATCCTCCATACTGTAAATTAGTTGCACTAATTTACAATCCCACCAACAGTGCACATGAGGATTCCCTTTTGCCCACACCTTGGCCAGCATTGGTTACCTCTTGGCTTTTTGATAGCCATTCTAACAGGTGTGAGGGGATACCTCCTTGTCGTTTTAATTTGCTTTTCTCTGATGATTAGTGATTTTGGGCATTTCACATGCCTGTTGGTCATGCATATATTTGTGTGTGGGGGGTGTTCAGGTTCTTCGCCTATATTCTTACCTAAAATTTTTTAGGTTATTGGGTTGTATGAGTTTTTCTATGTTTTGGATATTAATCCCTCATCAGATAACACGATTGGCAATATTTTTTCCTGTTCTGTAGGTTGTTTCACCTTGTTGATGGTTCCTTTGCTGTACAGAAGCTTTTTAGTTTGATGTAGTCGCCCTTGTTTATCTTTTATTGCTTTGGCTTTAGCTGTTCTATCTAAAAAACAAGGATACATGTCGAGGTTTCTTCCTATGTTTTTTTCTGGGAGTCTTAATGGCTTCTGGTCTTACATTTAAGTCTTAATTTTATTTTAATTTCTGTGAGTGAACACTAGCATTATAGTTTCATTTTTTCACATGTGATATCCAATTCCCAGCGCCATTTATTGAAGACTGTTCTTTCTGCATTGAATATTCTTGGCTTTCTCGTCAAATTCTAGTTTCTCATACATGCATGGGTTAATTTGTGCTTCATGGTGTTTTTGATCAATGATCTCAAAGATAAATTCAAATAAGTAAAAGACTACTCAGGTGCTGATAGTCACCAGATGAACTTGCCCCAAGTATACAGGTACTCCATTGATGGAGGGGGAGCTGGTCTTGAAGATATTGCTCTCCACAGGGAGAGAGGTTATGAAGTTACTGGGCTTTATAGCATCCTTAAAAGCCATGAACTTGGGAGGCAGTGGCCCTGCATCCCTTTTCCTTGGCTGGATTCTTCCATGCCTGGGAGAAAGGACTGCTGCTTCTAGTCTGAGAAGCCTGTGTAATAAAAGGCCTCCTTGTGCACCGGGTCCCTGGTGAATCACCTGTGAGAAATGACCTGTACCATGTCTGTCTTTAAGCCATCCCACGTCCTCCAGTAGTGCTGCTGAGGTCATGGCCGTGCTGTTCTTTCACATCATGAGGTATAAACAGGAGGACCCGGAGAACCCAGATAATGACCGTTTCATCCTCTCCAAGGTAAGTCCCCACAGGAGCCCGGAGCCTGCCCAGTTGCTTCTTAAGTCATTTTCAAAGCCACCACGTGGCAACAAGACCGGAAATGGGCTCTGTTTATTTTTTTGGTTCTTCTTTGTCTGCCTAATGTCTTGAGTCTCTTCAGTCTGCTGTGACAAAATAACTACACACTGGGTAGCTTATAAAGCATAAAAGCTTATTTCTAGTATTGGAAATGGAAGTCCAAGATCAAGGCACCAGCATGGTCACTGCTGGTGGGGGGGTCCTTTTCCTGGTTGCAGATTTTTCATTGTACTCTCACATAGAAGGGGAAGTAGTCTTCTTAGGCCTGTTTTACAAGGGCACTAATCCCATTTGTGAGGGTTTTACCCTTGCAACCTTATCACCACCCAAAGACCCCCCCCCCCCAACCTCCTGATACCACTTTTGGCCTTAGATTTTCAACATCAGCGTTTTGAGAGGCACAAATATTGAGACGATAGCACCTCATAAAGATTTAAGAGATGTTCTAGCAAGGATTGCCGTAGTGGAAAGGATGCTTGTGGCAACTGGCCACCCTTCCTTTCCTTTGTTGGTGCTCTGCCTTACGCCACCTAGCACTAAAGCCCCCCCCCCCAGGTCCCCAGCAGGGTCATGCTCCCATCTTCTGCCACCTGGGTAGAGGTGGGCAACATTAGTGGATCTATGTTGAGCTCAAGGAAAATTGAGTTGAATTTGGAGGGATATTCCACCTGACAGTTACCTTTATTTTCTATTTCTCAGTAAATTTGACCTGACACAATGGGAGGATTTTCTCGTTACACTAGGTGTAGCACCAGGTATCTCATGACATTGAGGGGCAGGAAAGGGGAGTAATATTAAAAGCAGGGTTGATCTAAAAGAACATTCAGTTCTTTTGATGTCTGAAAGTTTGTGGTGTTCTGAGAGAAACATTTAAAACTCAGCCGGTGTGTACAAATAGAAACCTCAGATCTGGGTAGTGGGTGTTAGTTTAGAGAATAAAGTCAGAGTATGGGCATGGCTGAAGTACCTGGGGTCATATTTATGACCCATGTCTTGGTGTCTGAAATGTAATTTCAAATGAGGTTTGGCGAAAGATAAAATTTCTGAGCATGTAGTGTAGAAAAAGCAAGATGAAGCAAAAGTGGTCCCTTAGCAACAAACCTAGGTGAAGGGTACATGGGATTTCGTTGTACTATCCTTACAAGTTTTCTAGAAGCTTGACTTTTGCAATAAAAAATGGGGGCGCCTGGGTGGCTCAGTGGGTTGAGCATCCGACTTTGGCTCAGGTCATGATCTCACGGTCTGTGGGCTCTGTGCTGGCAGCTCAGAGCCTGGAGCCTGCTTCAGATTCTGTGTCTCTCTCTTTCTCTGCCCCTCCCCTCTCATGCTCCATCTCTGTCAAAAATATTTTAAAAATTTTTAAGTAATAAATGCAGATGTACAAACAGCATGCGTACACAGATCTCTGGTTTAAAACCTGTAAGATGGGGTGCCTGGGTGGCTCAGTCAGTTCAGAATTCGACTCTTGATTTCGGCTCAGGTCATGATCCTCAAGGTTAGCGAGTTCAAGCCCCACATCTGAACTCTCTGCCCCTCCCCTGTGTGTGTGCTTACTCTTTCAAAACTTAAAAAAAAAAAAAAAAAAAAAAAAACTAAGATGCCTGGATTGTCCTGTAACTGTTGCTGTCTTAGTGGGATAAAGAGGCTTTCTGGCATGTGGTAGCAAGTTGGGCACTGTTCAGCTGCCAGAATTTATGGATTCATCAGATTTAAGAAGCAGGTGAGTTTGGAAGGAAAGAGAAAACACCTAGGAGTGTAGTTCGTCTTGGCATTGGCTGAGAATGGAATAAATGGACTTGCTATGGCAGAGGAGCCACAGTCTTCACGATTGGTACTCCTGGGATGTGAATATCAGGCACCAACAACTGCATCAGGAGGCTCACTGTTAAGACCTGGCAGTATCGGTATTGCTGATTATGAGGTACTGTGAAGGCTTCTGGGGAGGTTTTTGTGATCCCTGTATATCCACTTCTATCTCGCCGCAGGGCCTTGTTTTTTTATCAGCTGTTTCTCCAACCAAGCAGGCCAGAGAAGTAACCAAAAGTTCTTTTTGTAAACTGGTTCTTCAAGCGTATTTTGTGCCAGAACAAAGGTAAGAAGTGCCACCTGAAAGAGCAGTCTTTTCTGAGTGTGCATAGATCGCACCTCGTATGCATTCTATTCTAGCTCTTGCTCCTCCCCCCAGTTGTGAGTGTATCCCCCCTTGCCACAGTGTATGGGTTCTTGGGGAAGGTAAGGGAACCCATGTGGGGTGCCTCCACCATGCTGAGCGTTGTGCTGGGGCTTGCCAATCTTCTCAATCCTACGGTCTCCTGCTGGCTGAGGGGGACTCTTTAGCAGAACTAGAGACATCAGGAGAGACTTCAGCAGGATGGTTCTGCAGGGCTAGGAGTACAAAACAGAGGGAGTCTCTGGGGGCACAAAAGTGTGAAGAAAGCTAAGGACAGTTAAGAGCCCTGGACGGAGCACGACGAGTGAAGGATCAGAGACTAACAAGTACCGTTGGCCCATCCTTGGTACAAAATACCTCATTCTTTGCTTGAATGGAGGGGACATTTGAGTGGAGGAGGAGTCAGACAGGAAACCTGGGTAACCAGCATGTTGGATGGGCTTGAGCATCCCGGATCCAAGGGAAGTGAGGGTGGGAGGGTTTACCAGTTGAAACCGATAGTCCAGGAAAGTCTCGAAGCTGTCATTTGAGCAGAGACTTGGGGGGGGCACGTAGTGAGAGGGAACTGTGTGCCTGTTTAGACTCCTGTACTTGGGGGATAGGGAGCTGTGAGTGCTAAGGCCCTGAGGCAGGTGTATGCCCAGGGCATTCAAGGGATGCAGGAAAGCCAGGGCATCCAAAGCGATGGCAGGAGAGAGTAGGACATTATGGGGGCTGGAGGGTGGTGTAAGAACTTGGACGCTACTTGGCACGAAATAGACCTTGGACAGCTCTCTGCAGGGTGAGGAGTGGACCTAGGTTTTGACAGCCTCCCCCTGGTGGCTGTGTTGAGAATAGGTATGGGGGGGGAAGTAAGGAGGTTACTGCAGTGAGAATTGAGATGTTTGTGGCCAGTTTAAGATGGTGGCAGGGGAAGCAGTGAATAAGTTCTGTGTGTCTTCGGAAGCTTGGGACCTTTGACACTGCCTTGTGGCACTGAGAGGGCATTATCTTTATGGATAGTAATAGCCTTGCATAGACACAGGAGGAGGGGAGAGGAAGCAGTGGTGTAAAATGATTCATCTCTGGAATGAGCACTTACAGATGACTGCTTCTGAAATCTCATTTGACCTGAGTTTTACAAACCAGGGAAATTGTAATCTTCAATTGGGGGGGGCGCAGGGCACAAGTGAACGAGGGGCAGAGAATCCCATGCAGGGTCCACACTGTCAGCACAGAGCCTGAAGTAGGGCTTGAGCTCACCTGATGCAGGACTTGAACTCCTGAACCATGAGATCATGACCTGAACCAAACTCGGATGCTTAACCTACTCAGCCACCCAGGAGCCTCCATTTTCTTAAAATGTTTATTTTTGAAGGGGAGAGAGTGCAAGTGGGGGAGGGGCAGAGAAAGAATCCCAAGCAGACTCCACAAACTGTCAGCACAGAGCCCACCTCGGGGCTCAGTCTCACCATGAGATCGTGACCCAAGCGAAGATCAAGAGAGACGCTTAACCAACTGAGCCATCCAGGCACTCCGGTGTTTCAGAACCCGCATTCTCCAAAGAGATTGAACATCTGGTTTGTGCAGGACTACACGAAAGGCTTTGTGAAAATGGCAAGGCTCATGCTTACATTTTCTGCTTTGCTCTTAGGCTCTGTTTAGGCTGCTGTGTGAAGAAATTTCCCTTCTCTATAATTCCACAGGTCCAGCTGACCTTGGATTACCTATGGCTCCCCCTGTGTTTGTGATGTTGAGACTTGGGGTGCTATGTGGGTGTGGTAAAGAGAAATCCACCCCAAAGGGTGGGAGGGGCCGTGCCAGAGAGCAGCCTGTGCTCCATGCTGGAAGTTGGACTGATAACTTGTGTCCTGCAGGTATGTCTAAGTTCATTTGGTCCCTTCTTACAGAGGCTGTCATTTGTTGATGTGGCAACCGGATGGCTTGGGCAAGGACTGGGGGCTGCTTGTGGGATGGCATATACTGGCAAGTACTTTGACAAAGCCAGGTAAGGCTCTTATCCACTGTTTACCTGTCCCCACCACACCCCTCAGGCACTTTGGCTTTACTTATGGTTTACTAGTTTGGGAAGACCGTGATTGTTTAGAAAGGTCAGGTTCCCAAGTGTCCTAGCAGTAGAGAAATTGTGTTTCTGTAAACTGTTCTGGCTTCTCTGGTTGGATTCTAAGTGCTGCCTGTAGCGTATAGACTGGTTTATTTCTGTTGCTCTGTAAGAGTGACATGTTTGTGTTTTCCATTTCTCTTGAGCCTCATTATAGAGCTAGTAGCTGGTGCATTTGCGACTCGTTGGGCCCCATTGTATGTTAATAATCAAAGAGTTCCTTTTTTTTAGAGTGGTTCCACTAGTGTCTTTCCTACAGGGGTGTATGCCCAACTGCCGCTGATGTGTGAGCAAGATGGAGGTGGTGCTGGGGGTCCCCAGGGTTGGCTGTGTTGGTGTGCATGTTCTCCTGAGATGCACCGGACGTGCCTGAGTCCAGATCCAGTCACGTCTTGGTTCCAGCCCAGGTGGCCCCTTTGGAGGCACTTGGTTGTGCTTCCTCCACTGCTCAGGCAGCTACCCTCTTCCATCTCCCAGGAGTCTGTTAACGTTTTCATCTCATTATTGCCTGTATTAGTTCGTATCCTGTAATCAATATTTAAACTTTTTTTTTTAATGTTTATTCAGAGACCAAGTGTGAGCAGGGGAGGGGCAGAAAGAGAAGGAGGCACAGAATCTGAAACAGGCTCCAGACTCTGAGCTGCCAGCACAGAGCCCAATGCAGGCTTGAACCCGTGAACCATGAGATCATGACCTTAGCTAAAGTCAGCCGCTTAACTGACTGAGCCACCCAGGCACCCCATTAATCATTTTTTTAAAAACTTTGCAGCGTTTTGGTGGGGTCTAGGTTGTGTCTTATTGGTCTTAACGTTTTTGTGTTTTTATTGTGGAGAAGTTCATGGTTTACAACAGAACGTATGCTCCTGAGGTACAGTGTTTTGTTGTGATTGTTGTAAATAAATTTGTTAGAATCTGAAATAGTGGTTGTGCTTAAAACGGAGCTTACCGAGAAACTATATATGAATGTTGTTTGGGTGTTTAAGGAGCTACTTTCTCCACATCCCCTGTTGTTTGTGGGTCCCAGAGACATGGCAAAAGAATGCTAGAATAAGAAAACTAGCCCAAAAATCCATCTTGTGAGGCCCAAGTTTTTTAAAGCTGTGTTTCCTTAGCTCGTAGAGTTTGGACAGAACTGAAAAGAAAAAGTTTTAGGAATGTAATGATGTGTGAAGCAACTATTTCATTCTATTCCTTTGTTTTTCTCCATGAAATACATTTGCTTGAGTGCTCCAGAAGAGCCCTAAGCAGGGTCTTAACCTTTCTTGGCTTGCCCTAGCTACCGGGTGTTCTGCCTCTTGGGAGATGGTGAGTCCTCAGAAGGCTCCGTCTGGGAAGCATTGGCTTTTGCTTCCCACTACAATCTGGATAACCTTGTGGCCATCTTCGACGTGAACCGCCTGGGCCACAGTGGTGCCTTGTCCATTGAGCACTGCGTGGATGTCTATCAGAAGCGCTGCGAAGCCTTTGGGTAACTGTGTCCTGTTTTATGTCACCCTTTTGCCCCATTCCCCCTTCACCTTGTAACCTAGCCTCCTCCTGGGTTGACAGGTGGAATACTTACGTGGTGGACGGACGTGATGTGGAGGTACTGTGCCAGGTGTTCTTGGAGGCAAGTCAAGTAAAGAACAAGCCCACTGCTGTAGTTGCCAAAACCTTCAAGGGCCGGGGCACTCCAAGTAAGCAAATGTTTCTTTTCTGCTTGGGGCTATTGAAAACATCTGTCTGCACAGCAGTGTGGCAGGAGGAGACTCAGTCTGGCCAGGCAGACATCTGGCTTAGTGCTCAGTGATCCCACCTGTAATGTGCTGGAGGCCCTTGCTGTCCTTGGTCCTTACACGTAGTGGGTCTGGTTAGGGGTTGGAGGGGAAGCCCAGACCCCCAGCAAGTGAGCAGCGATTTTTCCATGTGCAGGAGGGAGTAGCTAGGAGGATAGTCCATCAGAGGACTGGCAGAGAGCGATTTGCATAGAAGTGCAGAGTGAGAGAGAATGCTATTATATGCGTGAACAGATAGGCAAATAAGGGCATGTACACTTGGCCTGTGCCCGCACTCTCTGGGAGGACACCGACAGACCTGGTAATAGTGGCACTCCTGGAAAAGGTACCTGTGGAACTGAGGGTCAGGGAAGGAAGACGGGGTTTTGAAAGTAGTCTGGCAGATTTCAAAGCTGTACCTGAAGTCATTCAAGTATAAATAGTTGCAGAGGGTGTGATTCCTGCTTTGTTTTAATATCTGTGCTTTAGAATAAAACTGTTTCATGACTCTTCCTTAAAATACAATCTTACTGTGGTGTCCCCAGTTCAGTAAATGACCACTTGACCAGTTTGCTCCTGGGAGAATTCTGGGTATTATCCTTGCCCTCACCTCTCCCTTATGTGCCCCCTACATGCAAACACAGTCTGTCATCGATTTGGATTGATTCGGGTTGATCTCAGATCTGCTTCTTGCTTTCCGTTTCCCATGCTCAGACCCAAGTCCTCTCTCCCTAATTATAGTCTCCCCAAGCCAGTCTCCACGCGGCTGCCATGGTGGTCTTTGTACATTTAAGAGCTCATCAGTCACCTCCCCACTCCAAATTCCTCTGTGGTTTCCTATCTTGATTCTGACAAAACTCAAACTTTATATGCACAGGATCCTCCATGGTCCACCCTGCCTGTCTCTCCAGCTTCCTATCCCACACTCCCCTCTCCATTCACCAGTATATGGGCCAGTGCCTCCCCCCAAGAGCCTCTGGGCCTTTTCAGGCTGTCCTCTGGGGCTGCAGTACCAACTCGGGCTCCCTCTGCCAGGTTTTTATTCTTGTGAGTCCTCAGCTAATATCTTTTCCATAAGGATGTCTTTGAGATGATCTAACAGACGCTCCATTATGTACTTCTGGAACAAATGTCTTTTATTTGGTTGCAGGTATTGAAGATGCAGAAAATTGGCATGGAAAGCCAGTGCCAAAAGAGCGAGCTGATGCGATTATCAAACTAATTGAGAGCCAGATACAGACCAACGAGAATCTTGACCCAAAACCCCCTGTTGAAGACTCACCTCAAATCAACATCCTAGATATAGAAATGATTTCTCTACCTGCTTACACAGTTGATGAGAAGGTAGGCAAACTGTTCTCTTTTTTTTTTTTTTTT